GCAGAGAAGAACATAACCTTTGTATATTTTGTCTTTGCCTCATTTGAGTCTTATTCTATCCAACCCTGTTCTTTCCTGTATTACAAGTAGTCTTTCATGAAAAATTAAAAAAAAAAAAAGTTCTTTCTTTCTGTTTTTCTTTTGCTGACTCTGTGCTTTGCATTGGTAACTTGCAAGAAGACAAGCTGCTTGGGTAGAAGCTCCTCAAAAACCTGCTTTTTAGCAAGTCTCTCACGGCATCTCACTTGTGAAACCAAGGGCAGCACTGAGGAGCAGTGCCCTGAGGCACACCCATTTCTGCCTGCCAGGCTCATCTTCCTTTCAAACCGTTCTGGCAGTTTCCCTCCATCCCTCACAGGACGCTGCCGACAGCCCTGGCAAGTCTCCCCCGAATGCCATGAGCTGCTCTGCTCCTCTACCGAGCGACTGGGGCTCAGAGCAGCCTCTGAGGCTATTGGCCCACCGTGCCTCTCCTCTGGGTTTATCTCAGCTCTACCCCCGGTTTTGTCACTGTATCCTTCAATCCCCTCTCTCCCCATAAAAGTGTCTAGCTGTCTCTTAAACTCACTTTACCATTTGCTGCTTTGACCTCGCTTGGCAACTTATCCTTGTGTTTATTATTTGAGGTGGAATAGTTCTGGCTACATTCCTGGTTTTACTCTTAATTGTCTAATTTTTAGAATGGTGTCAGTGGGGTTGGGATTTGGGTTTGGGGTTTTTTTTAAATCATCGCTCTTGTGATCAGGTCTTCTGTTTCATTAGGCACCTTTGTGTCATCAGGACTTCCAATAAATAAAGGAATGCTAATGAATCTTTTATTGGATCTTCCCAAATATTGCAGCTGGGCTTTCTTGTCCATTAGTGCCATTCTGAACTGCATACACTGCCTTTAATTACTTTTTTGTTAATTGGAGGGGAGGGAGGGGGAAGGAGGATTTTCCCCAAGCAAGTTGCTCCCCAGCTAAAAAGCTGAGTGATTCTCCCTGCCCATCCTTGCCCCAGGGGAAAGGTACAAACTGGTCTCAAGCAGGACTGAGCAGTAGAACTTCCTCACGTCCTCTGGCAGCTTACCTCTGCCTGCTGCTTGCCTTTGTGTACCCACCTCATGCCAGGTGCAGGCAGCTCTGAGGTGTGGGGCTGCAGGCACCTTCTCAGAGCCCCTCGATCCACTCCAGAGCCTTGTCGGGCTTTTGGACAAGGTGCTGGGAGCAGCTTGCTTACCATATTGGATTTGCTGTCAGGTCACACTGATGATGAGAAAAGATGGCGCGTGACGGGGTTTTCTCTGTGCCTGTCTGGGGAAAGGGAAGGAGGAAGAAACACTAGTTCAAGGCGCCTACCTGCATCTTCAGGAACTGTTCCCAGCTGCTGTAAGGTTGGTTGGTGGAGCAGTGAAATGAATCCTACTGACATCCTGAAACAGATAGGCCTGGTTGGAGCGGCTTCTAAAATGAACAACTTGCCTAACCCACCATGGAAAGAGCAGCAAAGAACTACTTCTTTGCAAGTCCCCCCCTTCCCGTACAGGAATCAGCACCTGTCTGAAGGATGGACTGCCTTCAGGCTGGTTCCCTAACTGCAGCAAGATAACGTCTTTGTATCTCCTGTTCGGTTAGTACGGTCCATACCCTTAAAGAACATGCCGTGCAACAAAAGTCGGCTACAATTTAGGCATGCTAGCTCTCATGTTTTCCTAAAGGAAAAGCAACTCTTTGCTGGATTCACCTACCTTGAAAAAATTGGTGCAAGTGAACCCTTGAATCTTAGCTGACACCATCAGAGAGAGAAGAGATCACGTTCCCTTTGCTACCCAAGACATCTTGTACATCATGAAGTGGCAAGAAAAAGTACAAGCTTTATCCATCTAGGTAACATTCTCCATTCTGGGGGGCTATGGAAGCTACAGGACACGAATAGTATGCCAATCACAGTAAGACATTAACCATCAGCCAAAATAACATCGGTCGCTATTTTCGGTTTAAGAACAGAGGACAGAGGCATAAAAGATTCGCTCAATTAATTGTGGGATTGAAAATTTTCCAGAGAGCTAAGTATACTTGTAAGATATAATAGAGTGCAGTCCCCTCATCTTTCATATGGAGGTCAAGCTCACAGAAACTCGGCCTGCTGAGCAGTTTCTGCTTGCCACAAAATGAGGAATTGCATGCTGCAAGAACCAGCGTCTGGGGGCCGCTTCTGAGAAATTCCTGCAGTAAAGCACTTCAGTAAAGGTGGCTTACCTTGCTGATAGAATCCTGAGAACGAGGAAATGAAAAGCAGAGACATAAAATGCATCTCATGACAAAGACTGTAAAATAACTAGGAATAAAATTTTTTCAAATCTTGTAAACTTTTACCATTGTGTTCACTGTACTCGGCGGGTTGGGGGACGTAATGATCATCAAACAACAGAGTAGCAATAAATACTTTCATTGAAAAAGTGGCAACAGCAAAAACAAAAGGACATGCTCTGTCACTCATCAACCCGCGCTTCATTTTTTGTAGCCATCTACTGTTGTTATTTGGCATGCAATTCACTAAGCAGCAAAACCTTGGCTGTAGTTATTTACAGGTCACTGGAAGTCTGGCCTGTGCTGCAGTGGAGTCTTGGTTGTATTTCACAAAAGATAGTTTTATTTATGTTTGACTAATGCAGGCACAACTGGAGGCTGATTTTTCTTTTTTTGGCTTTTAGTATAAACACTCGTGGCAGGTCTCTATTTTGGGTGCAGACTGAAAAACAGATTGTTTCGTAGCTGCAGAAGACTGTTGGCTAAATCAGAGGACATTGTTACTGCGACTGAACTTTTCTCTCAAGAAAGCAGGAGGACTTGCTTTATTTTTTAATTCTGTGCAGTTTTATGTACACCATTCGCTCCAAATATTTGATGTTTGCCACACTTGTTATGAGTTTCTCCAGAGAGATGCTCTTTTGGCAGCAAAAGATAAAGTTGACTGATACAAATGAGTCACAGTACCCCAACAGTAATTAACAGTGATGCAATACCCATGCGAAAAAGAGGACTTGAAGAATTAACTGTTGAGTTTTCTTGACGATGCAGCTGCACTTTAAGAGACAAAGCTCAACCCATCATAGAACTCCATTGTGTACATTAGAGAAAAAAGCTTGGCAAGATACATTAAAGATTTTCGCTAAAGAGATACAAATATTTTGCAAGGTCAAAGGGCGCTAAGGCAGGCTGTACTTACTTCCAAAGAAAAGTAGGCAGTATGACAAAGAAACAGTAATATTTTTTTATCTTCATTTTCACACTTCATCATC